GTAGAGATGCGGTCTCGCCAAGTTGCCCAGGCAGGTCTTGAACCCGCAGGCTCAGGCAATTCACTCGCCTCGGCCTCCCAAAGTGCAGGATGACAGGCTGAGCCACCGAGCCCGGCTGGGATTACAGGCTTGAGCCACCATGTCTGGCTCACAGTTGACTTTATTAAAACAGTCACTGATCATATTCCTGCCCAACCAGCATCCCCCCACACATGGGCCCATTCCAAGCCATTGCCACTGAGAGGTGGACAGGAATGGAGAACCGCGCCCCATGCCTCAAGCCCGCCCAAAGCAACACCACTGGCAAGTCAAACCAAGCGAAGTCCTTGCCATTCTCCCTTAGAAGGCCGCTGCACTCCCTGCCCTGAAGCCCTGCTGTGGGCGGTGGCAGAAGACAACAAAGACGCGTCCCCAGAGTGGCAGGTGTGGGAGCCCCGCCCAGAGGGAGAGCAGTTTGCCACGCCCTCACCTTCCTTGTTCTCCAGGATGTTGGGAGCAAACCCGCCTTCATCTCCCACATTGGTGGCATCTTTCCCGTATTTCTCCTTGATGACGTTCTTCAGGTTGTGGTAAACCTCTGCACCAATGCGCATGGCTTCCTTGAAGCTTGCTGCCCCGACGGGGAGGATCATGAACTCCTGCATGGCCAGCTTGTTGCCAGCGTGAGAACCGCCGTTGATGACGTTGAAGGCCTGGGGAGAGCAGAGCGGAGAACCAGGGCGCCAGCCCGCATCAGCCAGAGCGAGGCCCTCCCGCCCCATCATCCCGCTCACGTGGGCCCAAGACTGGCAAGGGGCACTGTGAAATTCTCCCCAGATCTCCTCATGCTTTTTAATGCTTTGCACTGGGCTATCTCCTCTGAGAGGACATCACAAATCTAGCAAACCACTCAGATATCCCCTCTCTCAGGGGACATACAGAGATGGCTGGTGACTATACAACTTATGCCAGTGCAAATTTTTCAAAAATGTATGTTTCCTTTAAGTTTTTTATTCAAATTGCACAAAAAAGCAAATAAAGAGATGGAACATATACTGATATACACACACAAAAGTTATCAGCTGGCATTACGTAGAATGTATGTTGGTGACTGTTTCATACATTAGAAAAATACAAGATAAAATTTTAATTTTTTTGGTCATAAAAAGCTCCTCAATGTCCAAAATTCCATTATAAGCCAATTATCATTGCAATAAAAGAACTGGTTCCAACACTACAGTATACAATATGAAGAGATTAGTTTTTCACTATTTCATTAAAAAGTGCATTTGTGTTGCTGGTAGGTGATCTGTGAGATGTCTCCAAGTGCAAAGGGTTAACGAGGTAAGGTCTCATATGCTGCCCAGGCTGGTCTTGAACTCCTGGGCTCATGATCCTCCCACCTCAGTCCTCCCAAACAGCTGGGTCTACAAGCATACACCACTATGCCCAGGTCTTTATTTATTTATTTTTTTGAGTCAGAGTCTCACTTTGTAGACCAGGCTGGAGTGCAGCGGAACGCTCACGGCCACTGCAGCCTTGACCTGCTGGGCTCAGGTGATCCTTCCAAGTAGCTGGAACTATAGGCACACGCCAACATGCTTGGCTAATATTTTTTTAACGCACGCTTGTAGTTCTGACTACTTGGAAGGCTGAGGTGTAATTTCTTGATTGTAAAGATGAGGTCAGCCGAGCTCGGTGGCTCAGCCTGTAATCCCACGCTTTGAGAAGCCGAGGTCAGTGGATTGCCTGAGCCCGCGGGTTTGAGACCCACTTGGGCAACTAGGCGAGACCTCATCACTACAATAAATAAAAAATTAGCTGGGCTTGGTAGCGCACGCCTGTAGTTCCAGCTACTTGGAAGGCTGAGGCGGAAGGATCACTGGAGCCCAGCGGGTCGAGGCTGCGGTGGCCGGGAGCGGCCACTGCACTCCAGTCTGGGCGACAGAGTGAGACTCCAACTCAAAAAATAAAATAAAATAAAAGATGCGGTCTTGCCAAGATGCCTGGCTGGGCTTGAACCCGTGGGCTCAGGCAATTCTCTCACCTTCAGCCTCCCAAAATGGTGCGATTATAGGCATGAGCCACTGCGCCTGGCCGTGCCCATGTCTTTTGATTAACTGCAGTATTTACCATCAGAAGCACTAGCTACTATGTCAGCTAAAGCTCACACCCTAAGAAGGCCAAGTTCTGCTGTCACCCCCCCCATCATAAAGGAACTGGAGACAGGCAAGTCTCTTAGCAAGGGGCAGAGAAGCTGTGCTAGGAGTCACAAGTGTTAAGAGATCAAGGCATAGGGGGCCTCGGGTTCACAAGGCAAAGCCGACACCCTCCAGTCCTTGCTTGGGAAGTTCCAATAAGTCACTCACCGGGACTGGCAGGATGACCTCGGAGTTGCCAGCCAAGTCGGCAATGTGGCGGTACAGGGGAACGCCCTTCTCAACAGCACCAGCTTTGCAGACAGCAAGGGACACCCCCAGAATAGCGTTGGCACCGAACTTAGCTAGAACAGAAGAGAGTGAAATGATGGCATTTCTTACCGACCTTCCTTGAGCCGCTGCCGTGTTGCACCTGGTTACATTCTGACATCTCCTCGGCCCATCATGTCTCACTTTCCATATTCAGACGAGAAATGCAAGCAGCACTCCACGCAGACAGGACCCATCTGCTTCCCCTCCCAGATGCCCTTTCTTGGTTGACAAACTCTATAGGCATGCTGCTGTCACTTGGCTAGGCTCCTGATATTTAAAAACGTGACTTCTTTTTTTTTTTTTGAGTCAGAGTCTCACTCTGTCACCCACGCTGGAATGCAGCGGCACGCTCATGGTCACTGCAGTTTTGACTTGCTGGGCTCCGGTGATCCTTCCACCTCAGCCTTCCAAGTAGCTGGAACTACTGGCACTCGCCACCATGCCCGGCTAATTTTTTGATTTATTATAGAGATGAGGTCTCGCTAAGTTGCCCAGGCTGATTTCGAACCCGTGGGCTCAGGCAATCTGCCTCTACCTCCCAAAGTGCTGGGATTACAGGTGTGAGCCACTGCACCTGGCCTTCCCAATGCCTTTTTTTTTTTTTTTTTGAGTTCGAGTCTCACTCTGTCGCCCAGACTGGAGTGCAGTCGCCACCGCAGCCTCGACCTGCTGGGCTCCGGCGATCCTTCCGCCTCAGCCTTCCAAGTAGCTGGAACTACAGGCGCGTGCCACCACGCCCAGCTAATTTTTGATTTATTGTAGAGATGAGGTCTCGCCAAGTTGCCCAGGCGGTTCTCGAACCCGCGGGCTCAGACAATCCACTCACCTCAGCCTCCCAGAGGCACGGGATTACAGGCTGAGTCACCAAGCCTGGCTCCCAGTGCTTTTCACAAGGCCTTCAGAAGACTTCACTAAGGTACCCAGCAAAGACTTCGCCCTGGACACTCACATTTATTTTCTGTCCCATCCATCTCGATCATCAGCTTGTCAATCTTCTCCTGCTCCACAACGTTCAGTTTCTATGAGGGAGAGGAGAGGGTAAGGGTTCAGCAGGGGAGGCTGCCACTCTAGCTGTACCACCTGCACCCTCCTGCCATGGATGCTACGAAACCTCAGAACCGTGCAAAATCAAAATCAATTCTGTGTTCTAGGTTTATTTTATGGGGGAAGGGGATGAAACTGCCTTTTACTGCTTGGATGGTACCAGGCACTTCTGTCACTCAACAAGGAAGCAGAGACAGAGGCTCCAAGACACAATTCTTGCGTTACAAAGATAACAGTCCATCCAGAGTCCAAAGCTACATCATATACAACTGTCTGGAACATGCTACGTGAGCCCCTGTCACCAAGGAGTGTAACTTTTGAGCAATAAAGAAACAACAAAGCTCACTGTTCATCCCAGGGATTGAGCCCTTCAAAGGCAGGTTCGGCTGCTCATCCTGGCTAACCTCAGTGACACAACCTTCATCTGCCGATGGGAATGTTTTCTACCGGTATTCCAAAGTCACTTAGCAAAACGTCTCATGACTGGTCAAAATGAGTATATTTCTCTCCCTGCTGAGACTATAAAGTAATAAAACTACGGATGTCTTGAAAACTGGCTCAAAGTAATTTTCAAATAAAAATCAGCACAGCTTTTAAAGAGTCATGATTGAATCTTAAGAATGCATTATTTTATGCACAATGTTCTTTATATAAAAGCGAAAACATGCAGAGGAAATAATTTTTGACCCCATCACGCCACGTTGACAACTTGGCCTTTTGTGGCTCTGACAAGGCATGCATTGCTGGAAGCAGCAGGCAGTTACCCAAGCTCGCAGCCTCAGAGCCCGTCCTCACCAGTAGTGAAGTATGTGCACTAGGGGAAAATATGTCAGGGAATGCCCTACTCACAGTGGTAGACATGCCGTGTAAGAATGCGAGGGAAGAGAGAACAAGGGGTGTGAGAAGTGTCAGGAGACTGGCCTGTAGGGAGCGTGCAGGCAAAGCTGCCGTGAGAAACCTCGTCTGGGGACAGGTTGGGCAGGGAGCGATCAGAGTGCCACAGAGGCCAGGCCAAGACCAGCAAGGAGGTACAGACGACAAAGGGCCCCTTGTTTTCCACAAGTATGCAGGATGGATTCAAGGAAGGGCGGGATCAGATGCAGGGAGACCAGACAGAGGCTACAGCTGGGCTTAGACTCTGTGGGCTGTCAGACTGGGTCTGCGGAGTGCCACAGGATTCATGGAGGGAAAGGCTGTCATGAGGAAAAACCAGACAGAGTTCGAAGCAGCAGGCAGTTGCCAGGGCCTGGACCTGCTTTGCCCACAGCAGCTCTGCTTTGATCTCTTTGGCATACTGAGGTTTCTTTTTTCTTTTTTTTTCTTTTGAGTTGGAGTCTCACTCTGTTGCCCAGGCTGGAGAGCAGTGGCATGCTCCCGGCCACTGCAGCCTCAACCTGCTGGGCTCCGGCGATCCTTCCGCCGCAGCCTTCCAAGCAGTTGGAACTACAGGTGCATGCTACCACGCCCGGCTAATTTTTTGATTTATTGTAGAGATGAGGTCTCGCCAAGTTGCCCAGGTGGGTCTCCAACCCGCGGGCTCAGGCAATCCACTCACCTCGGCCTCCCAAAGCAGGGGATTACAGGCTGAGCCACCAAACCTGGCCTTGAGGTTTCAAATTAAGATTTTATTTAACAGAAATCCCATTGTTATCACTGTGGACACCACCACCAATACCCCTGGAGAGTGGCTCTAAACTTCCCAAAGATCAGGACAGCTGCAGGGGAAAATAAACAACAAAAAACCAGGACTCTAAGACAGCGTTGCACTCCCTGATCCAACTCCTCGGGCTCTCAGAATTGGACACACGGGCAGCAGGCAGGTTAGAACTATGTCATGCGTGGACTGTTCTCATGCATGACTGTGATCCCATCGCCTTCCGTAGTGCTCAGAACAAACTCCTCCGTGAACAGGAAAGCCCCTGGGGCTGGGAGACGCTATGGTGGCATCAGACATATAGTTATCAGGAGGCAAGTCCTACCTTGCTAACCAGGGCAGGTGCAATAGTTTTATTGATGTGCTCAACAGCCTTTGAGACACCTAGAAGGAACAATCAAATCAAATTACTGACATGAACTCATAAAACAGGCTTGAGCAGCAATTGCTAGAAAGAACTACTGGTGATGCCGACCCAGGAGCCCACCAAGAGACCTTCCCTGGGACATCTAAAACCCCACCCCCTCCGCCCCCAGAATCGGAGGAGGGCTTTCTGGCCCAGTCTGAGTGCTCTTACTAGGACCCCGGGGGGTTAGAGCCACACAGAACAACAGCTCAGGATTATCTGCAGGGAGGTTAGTTGGCAAGACCACGCACTGGCCACACCAGCTGCAGAGACTACAGGCTCCGGCGAGTTACCTGAGTGCACAAGGCGGGTGCCAGGAACTCATTTATATACTTAACGGGTCTGGAGACGCCTGCCCAGCGAAGACGAACGGAGAAGGAAAAACGAAGAAGAATACTCAGAAGACAGAGGTGATGAGGGGCCGAGAGTGAGAGAAGGCGAGCAACAGGAAGGCAGGAGAGGGCCTCAGGGGCCGGGCGTCCGTCCTTCCACGAGTGCCGCCCTGCTGGGCGCGCGTCACCAACAAGGCACAGCACTGCCCTGCCCTGCCTAAGTCCCCATGGAGGCCACTGAACAACGGCAACACAGCTACATGTGGGGAGGGTTTTTTGTTGTTGTTTTTTTGAAGAGACCGAATCTCACTCTGTTGCCCAGGCTGGAATGCGCTGGCGCAATCATAGCCCACTTCAGCCTCCCAATGTGCCGGGATCATAGGCACGAGTCACCGTGCCTGGCCTAGAGAGCGCTCTTTGCGGTGCTTCGTCATGACTCCCTCCCAGTGCCTGTCATCCCCCACCCCCTGCAGCCTTTCTGGAGATTCCCCAATTGCTCGCCCACCGAAATGTTCATACCAAGGACGTGCTGCACATCGCCGCAAATCCCGTGACAGTGTAAGATTTTTTTGCCTCTCTCCAGAAACCAATTTTCTCCCCCGGGGGTGATATCACCCCCGTCGAGAATGCACAGTCTAGGCCAATGTGCTTTTCTGTAATGTGGTCATGCAGGCTCTGTCTGTAGAAAGGTGGGAGTTGCAAAGACACCAACGAGTCCATCTGAACACAGCAGACCAGAACCGGCTTTGCAACAGAGCACTGCTTCCATGAATCAGTCAACAGAGAAGCCAAGGTGTAGTGCTCATCTGCAGGTCACCGTTACTGGCAGGCCGTGAGCTAGTCTTGCCGTAGGTACTTTCTTGCCTGGAAGAGGCTGGATGGTCTGGAAGGCTCACAGAGCCCTCCTGGGAGAAGGGGAGACCTTTCTAGGTGCTACTTGACAGGCCCTCTTCTCACCCTTGGGTTCCTGCCTTGACAGTGAGTAATTCAGAGACTGGACAGATGGCAACAGAAGCAAGCATGAAAGCTCTTGACCTTGAGTTTCCAGGTTTAGGAGTCCTGGAATCAACACACCAACTCCCCCAGCTGGTCTGTGTGCAGGTGACTGCTCCCCACAACGAGTCAAGGCAGGATCACCTCCCCATACACCAGGCCCACCACAGAGGCAAGGAGAGGGGTCTGGGAAAGGCCAGGAGCGGGGAGACCCTGGGGTCTGAGGCTTACCCTTCCCCATGTAGCGAGTCTTATCATTGTCCCGGAGCTCTAGGGCCTCATAGATACCAGTTGAGGCACCACTGGGCACAGCAGCTCTGAAGAGACCTGGAGGGGGACAACAAAAAAGCAGCAATTAAGAAATCCAGTTACAGCACGAGCCCAAGCTCCCTCCCACTCACAGATGGCCTCTGTTATTATGAAAGGCCGTCTTTTCTTCCTACCAACTGGGTGATTCAAGCAGTCTCGAATGTTCTTAGTGTCCTTCATGTTTTTATGATTCTGCAATGCAGAACTTACTGCAAGCATAAGAAATGCTCTAGTTTAAAGAAAATGCTCTAGAGCAGAGCTTCTCAAACTCGAGTGAGCCCAGACCACCCGGGAGCTGGTTAAAATGCGGGTTCTGATGCAGAAGGTCTGAGGGTCTGTGTCCCTAACACAGCAGTTGGTGCCCTGTGGACCGCCCCAGCAGAAATACAACATGAGTCATGTAGGGGATTTCAGGTGTCCCAGTAGCTATCCTGAAACTGAAAGTAAAAGCGACGGGTGCAGTGGCTCAGCCTGTAATCGCATCACTTTGGGAGGCCAAGGCGAGGGCATTGCCTGAGCCCAGGGGTTTGAGACCAGCCTCTGCAACTTGGTGAGACCTGGTCTCTACAATAAATCAAAAAATAAGCTAGGTGTGGTAGCTCACGCCTGTAGTTTCAGCTATTTGGAAGGCTGAGGTGGAAGGATCGTGTAAGCCCAGCAGGTCCGAGGCTGCAGTGGCCATGAACATGCCACTGTACTCCAACCTGGGTGAGAGTGAGATCCTGACTAAAAAATAAAATAGCAAGCCGGGCTCGGTGGCTCAGCCTGTAATCCCACGCCTTTGGGAGGCTGAGGTGAGTGGATTGCCTGAGCCCGTGGGTTCGAGACCTACCTGGGCAACTTGGCAAGACCTCATCTCTACAATAAATAAAAAAATTAGCTGGGCGTGGTAGCGCGTGCCTGTAGTTCCAGCTACTTGGAAGGCTGAGGCGGAAGGATCGCCGGAGTCCAGCAGGTCGAGGCTGCGGTGGCCGGGAGCGGCCACTGCACTCCAGTCTGGGCGACAGAGTGAGACTCCAACTCAAAACAAAACAAAACAAAACAACAACAAAAAAATAAAAATAAAATAAAATAGCAAAGTAAAAACAAGGGACGTTGATTGGTTCAAGAGGAATCTCTGTAGCTATCTGGATAAGTATTTGATAAATGCTATTTTGGGAGTTCTTTGTCCAATAGGAACTGGAAAAGAAGATGAACTGGGGAAAAAATACAGTAAGGACAATAAAAGGTAAGAGCTTAATAATACTGGGAAACAAGCAGTGAACCAGGTCATCCTACAGACCGAGACCAGCCGTCTGGCTAACCCCACACTGTGGAGCATAAGAATGGCTTATCTCAGAAAAGGCAAGCCGACAGTGTCACCAGGGGCTACAGATACCTGCCTGGTTATGTGTGGCAGACAGGTTTAGGGGAGCAGGAAGTGTAGGCAGCCTCTTGAATCTACTTGAAAGGGAAGTAATTTCCCTTCTGAGGCGTGGGAGCACGTGGTAGATGTGTGAACTGAAGGCAAATGAATTAAGAAAAAAAATCCAGCCAGACATTTGCATCCAGTGACCTGTCCCGTTCCATACTGCACTGGCAGTGAGGTATGATCAGTAGGACACAGTCTTCTCGAAACCCACCCTGTCTTCCAGCATATCCATCCCACACTGGGTTAGGTGAAGAAGTGAAAACAAGAGGCTAAAGTCTACAGCCTTCGGGTGACCATGATGTGTCAGCACAGGTTCAGGTCTCTGGTGTGGGATGTTGACAGTGGGGGAGGGTGAGCACGTGTGGGTGGTGCACATGGCACTCTCCACCTTCTGCTCGGTTTTGCCGTGAACCTGACACCGCTCTAAGAGTCAATGACAGAGAGAGTGACAGTAAAGGTTCTTAACAAATCCATCATTTCATGTGTTTTTTTTAAAAAGGATTAAGACAAGCCGGGCTCGGTGGCTCAGCCTGTAATCCCGTGCCTTTGGGAAGCTGAGGTGAGTGGATTGCTTGAGCCCGCGGGTTCGAGACCCGCCTGGGCAGCGAGACCTCATCTCTACAATAAATCAAAAAATCAGCCAGGCGTGGTAGCGCATGCCTGTAATTCCGGCTACTCGGAAGGCTGAGGCGGAAGGATTGCCAGAGCCCAGCAGGTCGAGGCTGCGGTGGCCGGGAGCGGTCACTGCACTCCAGTCTGGGCGACAGAGTGAGACTCCAACTCAAAAAACAAAACAAACAAACAAACAAAAAAACAATTAAGACATACAAGAGAGAATGTTCCATTCATTTCTATTTCAAAAAAAGACTAATTTTACAGTGTATCAAAGAAAGTGCCCCTTTCCCAACAATATTCTAGAGTCTGGGGTCTTTTGTTGTTGTTTAAAGCTTATTAAATTCCAAGTGGGAAGTTCTACCGTTGCCTTAGGAGGCCAATCTCATTTGACAAGGAGACATCCAGAAGAAACCCCCTGAGAGTGGCCCACGCCGAGGAAGCAAAGGCAGAACCCAGGAAGTCTTTCCCCCAGTGAATTCAACCCTTAGGGATCCTTTTCCTGAGGGGTGCAGACGGGACAGGAGCCAAGGGAAGGGCCCAAGGCCTGTGACTCACAGTTGACTCAGTTCTGACCAGTAGTCTCTGTGAGCTCAGCAGAAGATTCTGCCTGAAGCGCCCTTTCCAACCTCACCCGATATTCCCACTCATAAAACAGTCGACCAAGGTGAGGGGATTGTCTGAGCCCGCGGGTTTGAGAACAGCCTGGGCAACTTGGTGCAACCTCATCTCTACAAGAAATAAAAAAATTAACTGGGTGTGGTGCGTGTATCTGTAGTTCTGGCTACTTGGAAGGCCGAGGCGGTAGACTCGCCTGAGCCTAGCAGGTTGACACTGGGGTGGCTGTGAGGATGGATACCACTGCACTCCAGCCTGGGTGATGATGTGAGACTCCAACTCAAAAGCAAAACACAGTCGGGATGCTTCTGGAAGTAACAGAGGGCTACAGAGGCATTGGATTTTCTTCTTAAAGTTAAAGAAGGGAAGATTTGAACAGTCCCCACCCTACTGTTTTTACATTGAAAAATCCTCCTATGGGGACTTGCAGACAGGTAAAAGAGCCTCTGGATTGTCGCAATGCCTCAAAGTAACAACTGCCATTGATCCTTGGTTTAAGAGTGATTTCTGGACACTGAGCTAGAGTGCTATATTTACATTTCCCCTAATCTCTTTCCTTATCAAGACAGAGACCATCCCATCATGCCCTCTCTGCTTATTTGGTCAAAGCAAGTTGACAGCCAACAACTAGGGAAGGGCCCTTTTAGGGACAAGGTCTCAAGGTATCGCCTTACCTCCTCACCTCACTGACCTAGGAGATAACTTGTGGTCTGTTTTAAACATTAAACATCAAGCACAGCAAGACAAAGACTCCATGCCTTACAATCTCCCACATAGGCTACTAGCAAGTGCAGAAGACAAAGAAAGTTTTTACAGCAACACTTTTTTGCCTAAGGTTCTATCACCTCTAGGACATTCTCTAAAATGAAGTGTGGTAGAAAGAACTATGAGATCCAAGGTGGCACATACCTTTCGCAGTGTAGAGGTCAACCTCGACAGTGGGGTTCCCACGAGAGTCAAAGATCTCTCTGGCATGGATCTTGAGAACAGACATGATGAATCTCTGTGGGGAAGCACACAGGTCATATGTTCCATAAACCATGACGCAACATATGCTCATTCATTCAAGTAATTACTTTTAAAGGCTCTTGGACCAGGAAGAATCTGTCCTGAACTACATAGTGGATGCAAGAAGATTGGTTGGGGGGGAGGGGAGAAGACTTCTGGAAAGCAGCTTGGGCCCAGCTCTGGGAGGCCTTAAACCCCAGCAATGGAGGTCTTGTCCTATAAGCGCACACACACAAAAAAGCTGAAAAGGTGTGCCAAGGAGAAATCAAATCCCACTGGGACAATGAATGTGCTGATGCATGCAGAGGTTGTCATTAGTTAACAATGAGGGTTGGCTTGGGGACAGAAAGAAACCAAGAACGTGTGGATATGAAGGTCACAAGTAAAACTACCCAGGACAAGGCCAGAAGGAAGAAGGTGAGGGGGGCCACAAAAAAAAAAATCTGGTTGGGATGTAATTCATCAAATTAAATTTGAGGTAGCAGCAGAATGTTCAACAGGTAGATATATGATAATCAGTTAGAAATGTAGAGTTTGGAGGTCAGGAATAAAGAGCTCCATGGTCTGTGTGATTTTTGCTCCTGCCACTTTCTGGGACTTTCATATTTCACAGTATCTGGAGCTTGAGCAAGACAGGACACACCAGAAATGGCATCTAATTATTATTTCATTCCAAGGGCATTCAACCTCATTAAAAAAATTTAATCATGCTATAATTTGTAAATAGAGGAAATATTCTATCTTTGAACACTACTTTGAGGGAAGAGGCATCCTTTAAAAAACACCTAAAAAAAAAAAAAAAAGAATTTGCAGCAGCAAAGGGCAAATACCAAGCCCTTAAAGAAAGTCCTTTCTTAATGTTTTCCCTTGGGGCTCTCCCCAAGGAGAAACACTAATTGAACAAGTTATGGAACTGAAGAGGAGGGGAACTGATTGAGTGTTCAGAAGTCATTATCTAGCTGGGCTCCCCTCCAACCTCTTTTCTGGAATGTTCTGAAGCAGCAAATGGCATATTTTTAAGTTTCAAAATTAGACACTGAAGTCGCTTCTGTGGCCGTGTGGTCTACGTAACAATGGACTTTTATTCATTAGCCAAGAAAAAGGTATCCAGTTATCTACTATGTTCCAAAAAGGTAAATGTGTTTAAATATATTTTTCAGTTTCTAAATTTTAGTTAATTTTGAATTTTCGCAAAGTATTTCCATCACCCATCACCCCCAAAAGTTCCTCTGGGCTGTTTCCAGTGAATCCCCCCTTCCCCAGACCTCTACTGTGATTTACTTTGTGGATTTCAGACATCCTTTTAAACACATCTTTATTACAGTACTTCAGCAGCTATTTGTCTCAGTTTAGTGACATAAAACAAAGTAATTAATTGCACGAAGTGAAAATAAAATGTAGCCTAGCAAAGCAAAACCTAGCATAGCAAAACTATTCTCCAAAGTCATGCAAGCTCAGGGGGCACAGGCCTTCACAGTTTTTCAACAGCCTGGATAGAACCCCGAGCAGTCAAGGCCTAAGTGGGTCGCAAGCACGTGATCCAATGGCCCACACCGCGCAAAGGCAAGAACGCAGCGCGGAGGAAGCAGCAGAGAGGAGGCTTTCTGAAAATATGCCCTTTTTTTCAGATGAGGGCCCCACTGTTGGTGGCCAGTCGGGGAGCAGGAGCGGCAGCAGCTCTTGCCTAACAGGGGCGCGGTCGCCCGGGGAGCTTTCCAACTAACTAACGGCTCTGCGGCCGTTTCCTCTGAAATAAGCACCTTCCCCAAGTTACATTAGTCACTGCTTATTCCGGGGCATTTCTTATTCCGGGCTGGGCACCCAGATGCAGCACTGCAGGCCGCGAGCCAGAGGGGGAGGCAGGGGGCCCCCTGGTGGGGGGAGGGGCACAGCAGCATCTCGGGCATCCCTTCCCTCCCGGCCCCTTCCTCCATGTGAGAAAGGGCCTGGCTTTCTTGAACGCCCGGGCTCAAGTCTGCGTGTCCCCAAAATCCTTTACTTGGCTGATGGAGAAGCCCCTTCCGCTCCCGACTCCGGCCGTCCTACGTGGCCCGGTGTGCTGCTCGTGACCTTCCCGGGACAGTTATCCGGGCCCGTAACTCCGAAATCACATGCTGACGCACACCTTCTCCCTTCAAAGAAACCTGGCGCCCTGCAGGGGCGCCTGGCACCGCGCCCCTGCCCCGGGTCTCAGGGTAATCGGGGGCTCCAACCCCCGCGTGGGGAGGGCGGCTCGCACGTGCGGGCTGACCCCGCCACGCCAAGCCCGCGGGCCCGCAGTCCCAGAGAAAGCCCCCGCGCCGCCCGCCCCTCCTCCGGAGTCCTTACCAGGCAGCTGGACCTCGTCGCCCACGAAAGAAACACAAGCTGAAGCAGACACCGAGGTGAGCGTTAAGCCGGAGAGATCTAGGCGCCCCGAGTCCCCAGAGCTCCTCTCTGCACCGCCCGCCCCGACTTCCTGCCCAGCTAAGAAAGACTCCGCCCACTTCTCCGCCTCCTGGGCCCGCCCCCTCGACGCTGCCTCGCCATTGGCCGGGCACGCCGTCACTCGAGCCCTCACCTCCCGGAAAGGGGCGGGGCTGCCGAGGCTGGCGCGGCCGAGAAAGGGGGGTGACCACCGAGGGACTTGGGGCGGGTAGGCCTGGGGAGCCCCGACTCCCCAGCGACTAGGTCGGGGTGCAGGCGAGCTCCCGACCCCTACTGGGACCCTTGGGCCAGGCTGGGGTCTGTGAGACCGGGGCCCCGGCGGAGGGACCGGGGTG